GTCTCTCACTTGTGCTATGCATCCTCGCTCATCAGCTTTCCCCCGCATGCGCTTCATGTGCCTTTGCACTTGCGGTACCGCTTGCCACACATCTTGGGCGGCTTAGCATCGAGGGGCCTGTTCACCCCCCTTCTCTGCTTCCACTGAGGCTGCTTGAGCTTGCCATGGATCTCTCCCACGAAGCCAGGATGATCACCAAGGGTTCCGCAACGAAAAAGTATGCTCCGTCCCCCTACTAGAGGGCCACCCCCCGAAGAGGGGCCTTTTTCAGGATCTGGAGTGGCGCGGGAAGGAATAGGGGCCTCTTAAGCAAAGTGGCGACGGGCGTGGAGCTCAAGCACCACTGGGTCGAACGGAAAAGCTCCCCGAGGGCACAACCTCGAGTTAACTCTCCGTCCTCCCCCCCGCACAAGAGGGCGGCACAGGCCCCCCAGCACAGGTGTAGTACTTGAGCCAAAATGGCTACGGGCTCTCTCTCTCTCTCTCTACGTCTCTCGGAAAGCTTTGCCGCGCTGGAGCAGGCTCCGTCTGGACACTCCTTCTTGATGAAGCTAGGACTATTTGTAGCACCCTCAGCCCGACAAGTAGTACGCTGCTCCTGGCCGCTGCTGCCCAACGTCGTAAGAGGAGCGGCCGACTTCTTCCCGGGCGGTGCTGTCAAGGACAACTGCCCCACATCCAGTGCCTGCGCTGGCAGGAAGGGGGTCGACGGCTCTGCCAGCTGTCAGCTGCAGGCCTGCACAGAATACCGGCAGCTGAGCTCCACGGCCAACAGTGCTCCAAAGCCAGTGGGCAGGCCAAGAAGCAGTAAGAGATCGATACCAACCAGCCTTGGCTAAGCCGCACATGGCCTCATGGCCTTCTGCTGAACACATGACTCAAGTCTACGACTACGACAGGCGACAGACCAGCCATGTCAGCAATCATCTCATCGAGAGCTCCGAGAAGCATCGAAGTACTGACCTGGGACATTCGGCACAGCAAGCCGCGCTGAAGTGCGCGAGATATGTTAGCATGAATGTTGAACTCCCCCGTAGTTAGAAGACTCAGCTCGGGAAACTCAAGTCTGCCTCCCCCGCTCACCAATACCGATCGAAAGGGCAACGTCCAACACATGCTAGAGTCCAGAGCCCGTCGTTGTGCTGCTGGAGCTGCTGGAGATGCCAGAGGCTGAATTTTGCGGCACTGACAGCCCCGTCTCCGTAACCCTGCGCGCCGAGAGGCAGTCACTGCTCGCACAGATGCGGCAAAGCGGAGTGCGGCTCGCATCTCGCCGTCTTCAGGCGCAGAAGGGCCACGCAGCAGCAGCACCTCTGACCATGGACCAAGAACCACGACATACGTGGTGCATCTTGGCATGCTGTCGCAGTTCTTACAACTTGATTTTCAACCGCTCAGGCGTGTTACCTGTCGGCCATGGACGACATCCCTGGCGAACATCTCCTGGATTTCCAGTGGGGATACGTGCAGGTCATCCCAATGGCGCCTGTCCAAGGCCAGTGCCTTGGTTTTGCAGTGTTCGTTACTGTACCTCACGACTGCAGCATGCCGTCACACTCTCATAATGGTGGGCACCAAGCGGCATGGCAATATTTGCCAGCGGGAAGTCTTTGCTTCACGTGCTGGCCTACCGCAGGGTCCAACGAGGATGCTCGAGCAACAGTACCTTGGTGCACAAGCTGTCAGAAGTGCCTGATCATTCAGTGACCCACAGATTTGAAGTGGGGTCGTCAAGGCCCTAGCCGATTCGGAAGCGACTGTCGATGCCCTCGGACACCGTGTCCTCCGCTGCTATGCAAATGCCGCAGCGCTCAGGATAGCCACCTGAAGCAAGAGGTTCGGGATCGCCCACTGCAAACATGCCATGGCTACATTACTTCCATCCCGCGCCTAAGCGGGCCAGGGAATCCAGAAGACGTGCTCGTGCGGCTTGACCCATCTCAACCTGACTCCCCAAAACTGGTGCTTCAGTAAGCCCTTGTGGGTCAGGCATGCGCTGTAACTCACCGTGCTGGCTGGCACGATGAGAATCAGCCACTGTTTTGAGGCATCCGGTCTTGTCTATTCAAATCATACCAAGCAGTGCTCCGTGCAGGTTGTTGCTCAAGCGCGTATCGTGCCCCACACTTGCTACAGAAAGCTGGCACAAGCTACACCACCTAGTGCATGCAATTTGCCAGACCATTTCCCACCACTTGCTCCAGCTTGCTGTTTCTTGTGTCCCTGCCTCCTCTTCTAAAGAAGGCAGGCGTGCAAACGACGCTCCTCGTGCAAGAAGGATGAAAGTAGAGAACCTTAGCCGGCACAAGTACCCATGGCGTAACAACCCGAAGTGCTGCAGTTCAGGGGCACATCGTAGAAGTTGTGAGTTTCTTTGACTCCTCGAACGGACGGCTGCTGCTGCACAAACTCCAGACGTCGGCAAACTCTGTCCTTCGCGGTCCCACTGCGAGAGCCGCAGGTAGAGCCCTGTCAAGTCCTCGCATGAAATCCAAGCCCTATTGATGATCCCCGAGCTAGGACGGCTGTCCTCCTGATGCCAGCGTTGATTACAATCAATGGAACTTGCCGCAACCTAGCGAGCGGAGACTTAGAGCCCATCTGAGCTTTCAGTCAAGCCCTTTTTTGACAAGTCAAGGTGTGAGACCCAATCCCCGTAAGCTAGCCACAACCAAAGCAAAGGAGGGCAGCATCCGCATTGCAAAGGCATGTCGCATCCAGTGTCTCCGATGCTTGGCAGGCTGCAGAGGGAGATCCCATGGCTTTCCTGGCTCCCTCTCGTAAGCTTCTCCAGCACTTGGTTCATGGCAGATCTGGAGGTGTTGTCGATTTCAACGAACTCAGTTTATTATGTGACCGGACAGCTACGAATGCGATCCCGGTCGCGAACCCCTGAAGAGCCACATGCCCGAATGTCAGATGGTGTCAGACAATTTCGAAAACTCTGCAGCAATGTGCCGGCACCTCGTCCCCAGAAGAGGGAAGAGATCCCAAGGCCTGGAGGCCGTTCACATCTCTGGAACCACGGCAAAAACTACTGGGATACCACGACTTCGCTGGCCTGCCCACGAGGCCCAGTTTCCTGGCGAAATGTACCTGGATAGCTGCTTGGATTCTTGCCTTCACATCCTTCGTCTTCAGACGAAAAAAGCCGTCCGCACGCAGACAGCAACGAGGAGACGCCCCATTGATTTCCGGCACTTTCAGGATGTAGGCGGTAGTGCCTTGGCATGTAGCACTCCGCCGCACTCGTCATGCTATGTGGTTTGTAAGCCATGCCATGTCGAAATTCTACAAACGATGCCGTCCAGAATTTCGAGTCGCACACTCGCTCGAGGCAGACACGGCGTCCGCTTCCAGACAAGTCCGAAACTAGAGCATCTCACTACACAGGTGCGTGCGAGTCCCAACAAGACAGAATCAACAAACCTGGTAGATCAAGTAAGAACTTAAAACCATCAAGCTGTTCGGGACCCAGCCGGAGTGCTGCGGAAGGGCGCCAACAAACCACATCCGCAAGAGAAACAGCAGCAGGCAGCTGTGCTTGTGATGTCGGAACTGTTGTAATGTCATCGAGTCTTTGAAAGGCCCCGGCTTGGCAGGTGCCCCGGTGAGTGCGGCCAGTGCCTGCCGGTTTCTGCTACTGCTTGATTGCGTGATTGTTTGTTCACAGCCTCCGCGGAATCACCGCGCTCTGCTGCCTCCAGGGTTGCAGCTTTGAGCACCTCGTCCTTGTCTTGACATTTTTACGGGTACCGAAATGTTAGCCTGGAAGGAACCGTTGATCCGGGCCCATGCCTGTCAGGTTTGGGCATCAAATACACGCGCGTGTCGCAAGCACCCGGCCTTCTCTAGCAAAGGCACCCAAAGAGCACCCGAGCAGCTCGAGGAGAAAGCAAGTGCTCGACTGTCTGGCACCTGATGCTTCAGCCGCCGCTACTCAAACACGGTCGAGTCCACCGTGCAATCATTCAGCGACATAAGGAAGCACATGCTCCAAACCGAGAGCCTGCATCTCAGCGGACAGCTTGGGGGGAAAGCCACGGCATGGTAAGCCTTCACGCACTTCGCGCATGTCTGCATGGATGCCTCTAATTGAGAAGCACAATGCCAGCGCGATAGGCATGTCAGGTCCCAGCTGTGCGACACAGGCACCTGGGAGTGGAGGGCGGAGATCGCGCATGTTGACTGTATATTACCCTAACCCTCGGCCTGCTGCCATCGTCCCGCACGGCACAATCGGCCTCAGAAGGACGCCAGTGACAGTCTGTGGACGCTTTTCCGCTTTTGTTGCCTGCATGCGCTGTCTGAGGTCCAGCAGATGGAGACACCGGCAGCCTGCCCTTCCGCGGTTGTAAACACAGCCTGTGTTGGCTGCAGTTTGGTGTGGCCGGCAAGCAGACATCACACCGCTGCAGGCAACTGAACCTGCTTGAGCAGGACCGGCTGCACCTGCGACTGTGAGTGAAGGATCTATGTTTGCCTGCACGGTGGCTCTGACCGATGTAACTTCTCATATCATACTTACCAAGACTGATTGCTGAAGGCAGTCATCGAAAAACAAAAACTCCCTAGCTTCCTGACAAGTTTCCGTGGGCCAGCTTTTCAACGCAAGTAGCTTCGCACTGTCAAGGGTCAGGACCTTGACCCGCCTTCTGCGTTGATGCTTCCGTCTGCAAGTCGTCCGAATTCGGACGAGATTGCTTCTTTTCCCCTGCCCCCCCCCCTGCGTGAGACGTGCACTAGGGAACGGCAGACCCTCAGCGCTGTCTGTGTGATCATCTCAAGACCCAAGACAACACTACGTTTCAGATTCACATCTGCTTGTTTGTGTCATATGTGGCGTCGCTTTTGCAGCAACCACCCTCCTTTGCCGAACTTCGCTGCTGGAGGACTGCCGGAGCCAGTGCCAGTGCATGCCGAGCATGTGCCGAAGAAGCAATGTAGGCTCCCATTTGGATGCCCGTAACCAGGACATGCGAGTCATTCCGATCTAGCACGCTTGGTTGATCGCTTTGCAGCAGATGACCTGAAGTCACTCAGCAAACCGCCAGCCCGTCAAGAAGAACAGCACAGACTTTCCACGAGAATCACTGGCTCAGCCAGCTGAGAGCAGGGCGCCGTTTTTCGCTTTGACGACTGCCTCTCGATCTTACTAGTTTGAGATTGCTGATAGGTGAATTTGGCTGTCCGATACCAGGCCTTGCTCCCTTGACTACTGCTTGGTGCAGCATCTCCCAAAGATCTGCTTTCTTGTTGTGGATCCCCTTCCTTGGTTGCTTGCCATTGCAACACAGACGTTGCTGCATGAAGTGCTGCTCCGAGCTCGGGGCATGTCCGCAACTTCCGGCCTGCACAAAAGGCGAGAACACACTGCCAAACGCTGCCAGAACTGGGGCAAAGAACGGACCACAATCGACAAAAGTTCCATCGGCCCCTATCTAAAGCCGCGTTAGGGAGAGGCGGGTCAGGCCTCTTAGGGCTTAGGGAGCACGTTAAGCTCCCGGTCCGACCCTTTCTTCTGAGGCTTCGCGGGGAGGTAAAAAAACTCTCCATGTCTCTCTCTTTCAAGGCCATGTAGGAAAGAAAGTGCAGGCAAGCAGCATGTCTACGTGCTGAGTAAACCACAAGGTTGCCGTGTCGTCCGCCCTATCGATGGACCAATAGGTACCTTCGATAGCGGCAGGAAGCAGCCAACGATTGCAGTTGAGTGCCTAGCGAGCCGCCTGAAGCAAAGCCACTGTCTGAGCCATGGTGCAGGCAGCACCACCCATTCCATACTCTGTGCCGTTCTTGCGGTACGTTCCGATGTTGCCAAGGTAGTTGACCTCGCTGACTCAAATGAGCTTCTGGAACACTGAAGAAGATGGCTTGATGCAACTGGGCGACTGGGTCTACCCCTTCTTTCATGCGATTCTTCTCCATCGCGGTCACAGATGAGGAGCTCAAAAACCTTTGCCCATCATCCAACTTCCCTTTCCGCATCAGCATGCGGACCTCAGTCAGCAAGCCCTGAAGCTGTCACAAGTTTACTGCTCCTGTCGGTTTTGGTGTCTTCATGCTTAGATCGGCACAAAGCGTGCCGTGTCAGCAACTGTGCTGACCTGGAGCATCGCGAGGCTTCGTGCTTTTGGGCAATGATGACGGAAGCACGGCGCAGCATGATTTCCAACAGACCACCATTGATGCAACATGTCTGTGTTTTTAACCCACAGACATGTATAACAGTTGTACCAAGCTCACGGCTAGGCCGCCATACAGGTAGCCCATGAAGCCGCCACCAGAATGAACTCCTGCGAAAGTGGCCCAAAGGCTACTCACAATCCCGACATCACATGACTTGAGGTGCAGAGAAACGAAATAAAAAAAGCTTCCATGCCGACGGCTGCAAGCGAATCTCTGAAGTACTTTCGAACGAATGGAGCTGAGGCACGGCATTCTTGTCCCTGCAGCCAATGGCTCTGACGCCTCGGCTGGGTTCTGCACAAAAACCCAAGCTGCTCCCAATCTTCGCGTTTCAGGCAAGGCACGCCCTGTTGCCATCAATGCGGACAAGGCTTGGGCGAAGAGCGCTTGGCATGCGGCCCTTCTGCCCGTACAGCCTGAAGCCAACCAAGCAAACGACTGTGTTTCCGGAGTCGTTGCTGGCGTTTGGAACGGAATTTGCAAAATCTTCGTAGCGCATTCAAGTTTGGAGTCCTGAAGGGCCCGGCATGCCACGGCGTCAGGACACCCAATGCCGGGGAGGGGGGTTTGCGGGGGGAGGGGGCACTCCTACATTCTCGGGTGTGCCATCTCTGGGCTTGGGTCGGAGATGGGAAGAGAAAGGATGGATGCTGCTCTGCAAGGTGTACTTCCAAGAAGCTCGACAGAGCAGTAATTCAGGCATTCTCACCGAGGCTCTTCTTCCAGGTTGGCTTATGAGCATAGCCTCGGCAAAGGGCAAGATGTGGGTTAGCATGAAACCTCCAACCGAAGAGCCGGACGCCTGTAACTGCGACCAGGTGGCAAGCAGAAAGCTTGTGCAGCTCGTCTCTTCGAACAGCCCACTTGGTATGCTTCATGCCGAGAGGTTCAAAGACCGTCTCGATCAGAACCTTTCAGAACGCACGGCCATGACCGGATGCGCTATGATTTGAAGATCAAGCCTTGTCCAATCTCTTCTTCTCGACGACCTCCAACACTCTTCCAAGCACATCGAAGGAAAATCCATACCAGTAGGAGTTCCTGGCAGGTGGAAAAAATCCAACGCCGAGCTGTTCTCAAGCGCGAAGCCTGCGTTCGACATCTTGTCCGAGGCTCCCGGGATGATCTGAGAGAGGAACTCTAGCAATGCCTCGCGCGAAATCGGCGAGTGAAGTGATCCTCTTCTGTTGCCTCAGATCCGCCACAAGAAACCGCACCAAGATGCACCGCCGGCAACCATCCGAAGCTTACCAGCTTTACTTGCACGACGCCAAGACTCACATCTTGCTGTAGCTGGAGATAGGCCCGTGAACTCTCATCCTCAATAGTCTCGTCCACATCCGGGGCATAAGCAATTCCTGCGTATTTGGCACATGCACCGCAAGTGTCCAGCAGGAGCAGCTCAATACTTCTTCCCACTGGTGCCTGAGCAGTGGCAAAGGAGATGCTTCAACAGGATCGGGCGCTTTGCCGCGACAGGCGCGTCTGCACCTTCCTCAGCTTTGTTTGACAACACAGAGGTCGTCAATGGAACTCTTGCAGCACTGCTGTACATCTGGAGACCAAACGATTCCTGCCCCGTTTGGCGAAGCTGATGCGGTTTCGTCTACACAAGACCAGCGGCCGGCTGAACGAGGACGTTTCCAAACTCGGGGATGTACTTGTCCAAGCCTTCTGTTGCAGCAAAGCTTTCCCCGGCATTACTCTTTATGCAGACTGGGCCCGGACGGTCGTTCAGGTCCAACTTGCCAGCTTCTGCCAGCCTCAGCTTCGTTTTCTGCAATTCGCGCTGATCTGAACAAACCCCATTCATTGCCAGTGAGCCACCGAAACACCGCAATAGCAATGAATGGCTTGGTGGCCTGTCGACAATCGAAATGTGCCGTGACACCAAGGAGAAAGATAGTCAAAGGATGCAAATTGCAAACTGCAAACGTCTGCACTATGCCGCCGAAGGTCGCAGTACATGCGGCAATATGTGTCGAATGAAAACGGGATGCCACGCTCCACATCCGCCAAGCCCACAGCATCCGCCAGAACCACCTCCAGGTTCGGGGGCATTTCTCGCGGAGATCTGGTTCCATTCAAGGCTTTTGTTTGTTCTCCTTGTTTTATCCTGCACGAGAGCAGCAATCGTGTGGCCCACTTTCCGAGCCTACAGGAAATCGTATGTCTTTGGACAGGAGCCTGGCCAGCCGTGTCGATCAAACTTTGCTGTACAGTTGGAATCCGCACGCTGCGGATGGTGAGGTGAGGCCTGCGGTGCTCAACTGTGCATCGCCGACGTGATACGCCCACAAGCTACCCACAAAAGACTGCCACCATGCAGGTACCCTGCACAAGCATGCTGCAGGAAAGGCAAATCCGAAGGTGTCAGGAGTGGCACGTGCTCTTGTGCCCCAGAATGCCATGCATCCTATCGTGATGTGCAGCTGCACAGCCCGACAACTTGGATTGCTGGATCTCCCGTCATCACAGACGCAAGTAGATAACAAGTCCGGGCAAACGGGCAGGCTGGCCAAATGCCGCCTTACGAAGCCAAATGCTCCAAAAGGCTCCATGCCACACGCGGATGCCCAGAAGTCTTGCCTAACAGCTGCCTAAAGCTAATTGTTTTGGTTTTTTGAAACAGTTGGAGTCTCACTGGAAAATAATGTTCATGTCGATCGCTCTGCGGCCAAATGGTTCAAATGCTATCTGAGTGCAGCAGGCATTGCCAGAACGCCTTCTGCAACTCAGCCGCCCGACGATGAACTGTGAAGGCTCTGAAGATCGAGCGACGAGGTGTCGCGCGGTAGTCTATGACAAGCAACTCTGAAGCTCGGCACCCAAATTGCCAACGCTTCAAGTGAAAAGGCCATAGGACTTGATTGCTATGGCAAAAACCGAGAGCCTGGCCGCAACATCGGGCTCGAAGCATCTCACCGCCACCGCGGCAATGTCACATCAGCCATTTCCTGGCAAACACGACACTCTGCCAGACCTATCGCTGACTGTGAAGACACACTCTCGAGTCTGGCATCTGCTCTCCTCCACCTTCTTGTATGCAACCATGGCAGTTCCGTTGGCCAACTCAGCAGTCTCTCTGTGCGCAACAGGCTGCCAAGAGGTGAGATTCTGGGATCCAACGCTGATGCTGTAGCAACTCGGCTTCCCGACTGTGCTCCGTAGGAGACCGGGGGCTAGGCCCCGAAAGAGAAGGCCGGTCCGAGCGGCCTCCGTCAGCAGCGTCCAGCAACTCCTGCAGTCCATGTTTTGGCTCGGCTACGCAACTCTTCTCATGCGAACTTCTCTATTTTTAGGCCCGAGGTCTTGGAATCGAAGTTGCCACTCTGCCTTTGGCTTTTGATGACGTCCTCAGCTTGCAATTCGGACGCTAGGACTACGACTCTGCATGGGAACTCAGCGGCCGCAGAGGAAAGGACCCAACAAACCGAGCGGCAAGAGGCCAAATTGTAAGCCATGCCAGGTTGGAGCAGATCGCGCCCATCCAGAATGGTGGGATGCCGGCAGGGTTTAGGGAGGACAGTATATCACGGTAGACAGAGAAGCTGCTGAAGAGCCCCATGTTGCGCACGATGGTGACGGAAGAGCCATGAAGCAGGGTCCTGGCATTGACAAACTACATGGCATACCTTCAAAGTTCCAGAGAGTGGGCGTAGGGCGTAGCCCACATGCACTTGCCGATGTGGCAGGTGCCAGACGAGGGTGTGGCAGGGTTGGAGTCGACATAATGCAAACAACTGTTCCAATATCCCAAGATAAGGTAGACAGCTAGTGGCAATTTGAAGCCCAGCGTCCGGAAGCTCCACGCATGTTCGACCTGCCTGCAGACTTTCACCAAGTCAAAAGGAGCCTTGCCGGGACAGGAACTGAAGAATGACATGCCAAGGAGATCTCATCCGCTGCCCTACACCATGGCACCATGGCCACGGCTTGTGCTTTGTTCCGCCTCGATGACACCACGGGCGAAGCCTCCCATGGCACCAGCCAGAGCTACCTGCCTCGGTGGCTTTTGCAGGACACTTTCAGCTCGATCCAGTGATTTTTGCCCTGATGCTGACGTGCCACCAATCAAGAAAGCCAATCTTGTATGGAGGCGTCGCACTTCTGAGATGCCTTCAGCAATGCTGAACTACAGCTCAGGAAGCATCTGTAGACAAGCGATCCAATCATCCTCGACGCAAAGAGTCTTTAGACAGGCAGGAAAATAATAAGTATAGCTGATGAACGAATGAGAATATTATGTGTGCAGGCACTTATCAGTTATATAGAAGTATACATATATACACATACATACATGTATGTATGTATGTATGTATGCATGCAGGTATGCAAATATGCATGTAGTTATGTATGTATGTATGTATGTATGTATGTATGTATGTATGTATGTATGTGTATGTATGTGTATGTATGTATGTATGTATGTATGTATGTATGTACGTATGTACGTATGAAAAGGTGCGGACACAGATGCAAAGAGAGATAGGTTATACACCTGCAACCACCTATCACATGCATGCACGTGTACTTCAAATATACACACAAGCATGCACATACACAGAGACCGCTCTTGTGCGCAGCCAGGAGTCCTGAGTGCAAAGTCGTAGAAACCAAACTGCGCAGATCGAAACATGGTGCCACCAAGCACGACAGGAAGCCCTCCTGCCAGACTCGTCATGGTGCTCCGCTTACTTCTCTCGCGCTCTCGGATGACTGAAGCAGTCCTCTGTACAAACCCAGCGGCCCATGGTTCTGCAGAATTTCTGCCCCCACCCTCCATGCGCTTGCACGGACGGCATCGGGCTTCGCCTGCCTCGTGATGTTTGCATGCCATGTCTGTTGAATCATGTCCACGAAGAGAAGTGGCTATGAAGCGACTCCAGTGCATGTCCGTATAGTCTCAATGTTTGACCATTTTCCCCAGGTCTTTATCTAGTCTACAATGCACTAGCAATTCATTGTCTGATCTGAGGTAATGGTTGCACCGCTACACTCCTTGGGGACGAAGAGTGCGCTTCCATCTATGACCGGGGATAGGCTGCTTGAAGCCGTGGTGCATGCGCGTCTTGATTGTGTCGAAGGGCTGCCCCACCGCCACGGAGGTTAGTCCGTATGCTGCGCCCGCTGTGAAGCTCACGAGGGACTTCCAAATCTGCCAAAATCAACACCGCAGATTGGCAGACAGCCGCATGCTTTCGAAACTGAGCATCCGGTCCTCTGGGAGAATATCCTAAAGGTCATCCTAAAGTCCTAAAGAGGCACTGCCTGGGTGCTGTGAGCGACTTGGAGCTCCACCTCGACTCCCAGCGGCACGCCGCATCCTGCCAGATCTTGCGCTGCTCTTCAGTCACTTCAGTCATGTCATGTCATGATGTCTTCAGATGCGACCAGCGCCGGAAGACGGCTCCTTCAGACACTTCGCTGAAATCCTTCATTTGGCTGGCCACATTGGGCGGCATGCTTGGCTTAGAAAGGCAACGCAGCGTCAGTCCCTTGGGCAAAAACGCTACGAAGAACCTTCAAATAGCTCGCGTGCTCCGGGCTCAAGGTCTCGCACGATCTCGCATGCAATGGCTACAAATGGTTTCACGCCTCGCCCTTGTGGTAGGCAATGCTGACACAACCGGAGATAATCCCTTGGTAAGGCAGTGAAGCAACCCACGACGCAGCTTTGGATGTCGAAGTTGCTCTGCATTGCGATTATTCTCGGCCAGATGCCCTTGCACACCACAAGCCGCATTTCTTTCGCCTTGAATGCAGGCTTTGGTTCGTCACGGTCAGAAGTGAACACGGACCAACCCAAGAGCAAGTGGCATATTCCTGCCTTAGATGGCAATGCGATGTCACTGCCAGGCTCACTGTGCAGTGCACCGATCAGGCTCCAGCAGGAGCTTGTGATCGATTCCCGTGCTAGCAGGATCTACCACCGCAAAGGCAGCGCTGCCTGATGCAAGGCCGAGGCGATGCAGCACAGTGACTTGGAGCGGCTTGTCTGCCCTCCGACTCTTGCCTCCCGTGGTCTTTGTGAGGGATTTGACCTTTCGGCCTTTCTCCAGAGATTTGCGCTTGATTGGCATCGCATCAAGGCCAAGGGGCTCGAGCCGAGAGTCTGCAGACAACACATCCTGTCTCGCATCTCCGAAAAGAACGGGCACTCAGAGCAGACTCTAGGGATGCAGGCTACGTCTTGAGGTCGCTTCTGTCCAAGGTTACAGTGTACTTCACGTGCAAGAGACACCGTGTATTGCGTGCACAGCCGCAGCCTCTGCTATGGAGCTCAGCGCTGCCAGGAAATAGCAGTCTCCGAGCATACCCTGCACGTTGCTTGTGCGGCTAAACATGCCTCGCCGCAGCTGCTTTGGAGCACCTGTCGCACGTCCATGGGCTTGGGCCCTTCTGGCGGAAAGATTGGCACCTTGGACTCCCAAATCAGCAAGCTAACGTGCCAGTTGTGAGATGTCTATGTCTGGTGAGTTGGCGAGAGCCCAGCGGTCTTGGAGTGCCCGCCAGAGCAATTGTCGACTCGTGACCACCTGTTGCTGATTGCAACATGCCGCGCACCCAACGAGCACGGTTCATGCTTAGCAAGCAAACTTCCTGGAACACAATTCAAGGTTGGGGACTTCACCGCTGAGCTCGAAACACCAACTTGGCGAAGAACTCCGCCTTTACTCGCGGTAATGCCTCAGCGTCACGTGGACTGGCAGGAGCGCGGGATCTGCCCTGCGGTACGGACTGACACGCCTGCCAGTCGTGGCAAAGTGCGCCACTGCTCGGTGGGAAGCTTGGGTCCTGTCAGCGGACACATGCCTGAACCCCTGGCAGGTTGCGAGCACGCGTCGTGCCGAACAAACCATGTTCCCTGTTGCGGGCCAGCGAAATTTTGCGAACTCCAAAAAAGCATTCCGGCACATGCTCCTCCCAAGCCCCAGACTGCGTTAATCGGGCCTGGGCCAGGACTCAGAGAAAGCTCGGGCAGCACTAGCAAAGTTGGAGTGCTGAGCCAGCAGCTAAAACGGAAGAAGCACTTTTGTAAGCCTCCTCCACCTTGACCAAGGCTTCTGAAGGTGTGTAACCGCAACGCAGCTGACATCAGTTGACAATTGACAATGGAAGTTGCGAGACGCCTCAGCTGCAGCGGCACCGTCAGTCTGAGCTTCTCCGACTTCACTTGCTGCTGCACCCATGGCTAAGGCTTCCTTATCATCTTGCCCAGTGCTTTCTACTTGTCCTAGCGAGCGCAGTGAGCTCCCAAAAGAACCCGGTAGGTAGATGCTCGTCAGAGGCCATGCACATGCTGAGATTGCCTCGCTTTACCTGGGGTTCTCGAAGCCTTTTTGTGACATCCGGAACGAAAAGGGATCTAGCCTTTGAAGAGCTCGTTGCTTGGCTGGTTGAAGAGGAGCCAAGTATGGCTATGGGACCTGCTGTTTGCTTGTCATTTATAAAACAGACAGTGGAAAGAACCTCTGGCCCGCAGATGGTTTCATCCGACTTCGTCGCCCGCTGCGTAGCCAGCATGGTGGCTTGATCCAGGCAGGACTGAAGTTTTGATGCGACGGCCCAAACACTGAACCTGCGGCTCGCCGAAACAAGATTAAACTCCTGAACTCGTCTTCGCCAGGCCCAGTCAACCTGCCAGGCTTGGATGACCCTCGTTGGCCCAGTGAAAAGCATCTGAGCATGTCCCCCGCCTTTGCTCCTGCTTGGCCAGCCTGTCTTGAGACAGGAAGGCCTCAGAAGTGACCTCGGAAGAGTACGGAGCGCACTGAGCACGAGCTTCCGCATATCGCAGACTTTTGCAGCACCTCTCACTGGGCCGGAATGCTGCCGGATTTCACATATCATAGCATATCATATCATAAGCATATATGCTTATATGTATAGATATAGTTATAGATAAGGATGAAGAACTAAACAGACAAATATAAATACAAATTAATACAAGTCTCTCTCTCTCTCTCTATATATATATACACATACACATATGCACAGAAACACATAAATAGGGCCACGTGAGATGCACTGCCGGTGGCGTTTCTGTGCCGCCTGCTTCTGCGGTTGCTACCTGACCTGATAGTCGGAGCTGCTTGTGCGACGACCATCTTCCTCATTACCGATAAAACAATCGGCCCCCGAAGCGGGCGCTCAGGAACATCCGAACTCTGTTGTGCCGAGCAGCTTGGGCAGAGCTTGGCAAACTAGGCATCTCAGTAGCAGCACTCGTAGTTGCTGTTCGCGGCTTTGCCTGCATCGAAACCCACAAGGTGCTGTCTTGCAGAAAGCAATGCGAGGTCTGCGAATCGAAAGTCAGGCAAGTCGGTACGGCTATGACTGGATACGAGCCCACTAGCTATGCATTTTCTGTCATTCCTCCGCTCCCTCCTGCTTTCGCGTAAATGCACAAAGGATGCACGCAGCATTCTCGCATGGGAAACGCTGCTGCGACAAAGTGTCGGGCGGCAGGCGCCAGCGCCAGTTGGCCGAAGCATGGCGCTGCCAGAACTCGCCGTTGTTGTTGAGCGCGCCGCCGGGAAAGTAAGCAGAAAAGCCGTCTGGGCCCTCCAACTTGGGGAGAAGACCACGCTTGCCCAGTTCCGCCTTCATTTCTGGATAGATTTGCGCATACCCAAAACTGACCCAGGGTGCCAGTGCAGTGGAGTCCGGCTGCCGCGGCTCCATATAATCATAGAAGTATGCCCAATGCGTAAATTGCACAGGCGACCAAACAGAATCTAGCAACAACAGAAAGCCGCTCAAGTTTTGCATCTTTGTCTGCCCGCCCTGCTCTTTTGGGTTTCCAAGTGGCCAGTGCACATACCGCACGCCCTCAAGTATCGTATCCCAGGCAACATGAGTGTGCCCAAACACATGGACTCGTGGATTTACACGTCGAATCTGTTCCTCAAGATACGATGAACCCGAAATCTTCGGCACATGCTGGTCGTAGGAGAAGCGCTTCTCCAAAATCAGTTCCTGCAGGGGTCATGCAATCAGTGACAGCCTGTCTTGAGGATTTCTAAACCTTTCGCTGAGGCAGTGCAACAAGTTCGACATGCGAGTGTGCGCCTGCCGCGGGCAGAAGTGTGAATAGCTCAGAATCTCACCGCCTTCACGCCTCTGCAAGTCTAGCACAGCAGAAATCCAAGCTTCGTTCCTCTCCGCGAAACGTTTAGCCAGATGATCGGATGTCTCGCCACCCGGCCCGAAAACAAAATCCGGCGCTTCGGCGAGCGAGCCCCACTTGCATAAACGGAAATCACTCACACGCTTTTCGGGATCTAGGGGGGGCTGAAGCTGAGGGGGAAGATCAGGTTCACGGTCCCAGCTGGAATGGTACCATGACCAAAGAGGCAGCAAAAGCAGGGGCTGCTCCAGCCCCAAGATACGAATGGGGCTGGTGTACACCTTCAGCGACTGGCATATGTCATGAATACGATCAAGCTTCTCGAAAGAGTCTTTGGCAGGGGCGCATCCCTTCCTCTCTCCGTGAGCCCATGCCTCATGATTCCCAAAACAAAAGCAGATCATGTGAAACGCCTCTGCGAGCGCCCGCAAGGATTCCTCGAACTGGTCCTCACTGGTGCAGAGGTCTCCAGGGAGCAGGAGGCAGTCGTAGGAACATGCCTTGTCAGAATCGCGCCGCGACATGCTTGCCAGGCAACTCCTCATCCATTCCTTGTTCTTCTTGTGGTCGATGTGTAGATCAGACATCAAGAATAGTCGCAACTTGTGACCGTCTGGCACTTTGACGTCCGTGACCTCGTCGCAGTCAGCCCCTGGAAAGGGCCTCGTCCTTTCGGCTCGAGCTGCCTCAGCCTCGTCAAGCTCATCCCAGTCCAGCATCGATTTCTCTGCGTCGCTCCCAGCGCAGGCATATACGACAACTGGCCGAGACTCGACACTGTAAGCCAAAGAGCTAACTGCCGTAAGCAGGACGGCCGTATTCAAGCAAGCACGAAGCAAATCAACTCAGGCACCGCCGAGCCTCATCGTCCCACGACATGCAGCCTTGTGCGATCCCAGCTTGCACACCGAAAGTAAAGCCCAACCCACCACTAGGCCTTTGTGCTGTATTGCGTGCGATGTCAAGCTCGGAGTCTGAAACACCTAAGAAGGCTAGTCAGTGTCACTTCTGTGTCAGAAACCCATGAGTGACAGGAGAAGCTCAGCGCCTCATGAAGTGCAAAGGCACCAGAAGAGGCGTCAAAAAGAGCTATCGTGACAAAAGCGCCACCTTCTCATATCTTCTGACTTCTGATGACCTAGCGCAAACAGCAATTTGTCGCTGTCGTGATGTCGTTGGCCTTTGGCTCCGGTTATTTGCTACGCTGCATGACAGATGTGCAGATACGCATGACGCATGGTTCGCCTGTTTTTCATGTACGTGCATACCTACACTGTAGCCTCGCGAGATCTTCGGCAGCCTTCCACGCAAGCACATGTGAGGCACGCCCATGCATCAAGCCGCAATTGGGTCAACAGTCTCCTGCTGAAAGCTGCTCTCAACTGCAGCAACGGCAACCGTGCCCCATTTTCTGTCAGCTCTCACTGAGGTGGGCATGACAAGGCGATACAAATGACGTGCTGCCGATTCCACGATGAAGCCTTTGGGGCTGAGGAATGCCATGACCAAGCCGGCTAGCGGCTAGCTTGACTTGGTAGCCTGATCACAGCTCCAATTCTGCATAAACTCGGCTCGGAGCTCTGCAGCTGCCCTGCCTCCACCGTTCGCGAAGCTTTGGCCTGTGACGCCGTGGCGCTCTCAGCGCCTTCATGCCTCGGCTCTCTGTTTCCTACTGTCTTCTGACGAAACCACGTCTTCAACTTCCCAGCATATCATCCAAGTTGATCATCCAAGTTGCGGGCTGGCATCCTGGGTTTTTGACTTTGACTCGCCCCTGCGAACCGGGGCCATTAACATGGGAGATGGACGCATGACGACAAAGACGACTCGTCACTATGAGTCATCATGAGCGCGCCTCGCAGAGACGGAGGCGGGCCCTGGCGTCCCGGCATCTTTGGGGTCCTTGGAATCCGAGTCCGTCTCCGTGGAGTCCGAGGAGTCCGAGTCCGCGGAGCTGATCTGACTGCTTCGACTGCGGCTGCTGCGACTGCGACTGCTGTGACTCCGACTGCGACTGCCCGAGGGCTTCTCCTCAGGCTCCTCGTTCTGCTTCTCGCCCGCGTCAACGAGAATGGAAGGAGAGGATTCATCAGAAGCTGTACTACATGAGTCTTCGAGCTCCTTCCTGGAATTGCGAACAAACAAAGCCCTGATCTGGTCCCTGATCTGGTCCTCCAAGGTCTTGACATGAGCTTGCTCTTTCGAGACCGCTGTCGGGGTGCCGGCCTTGGTAATATGTACAGCGGCACGTCTGCATGCACATCTGCAGGGGGAAAAGGCTTAGAGGCCTAGGCGCAGCGGCGTGTCTCGTCATGTACGTCAACGAGTGAGCGCAGATCTTGCGACGAACCCGTACTAAGTGAGTATTGACTTCTCATGCGCACCCGAGCAGTTGTCCAGTTGGTAGCAAGGAGAAGCTTTAGATTTAGACTGTTCACCTTCACTTCCTTAGTTTCTTCTCGCGGCCTACCATTACACAAGGAGCCTTCATGTGCATCAACACATTGACTAGTCTTCACTTATGACTTATTAGATGATTGTCAGGCGGCAGCTGCAGCAGCACCCTCAGGTGCCTAGTATGACAGCAACGCGACCATGCACTAGTAATGCTTGCTCGTCCGAGACACATCTCCAGCATCTGATGGGGCGGGTTTCTCTTGCTCAGGTCCTGGCGAGACGAGGTTGCAAGACCTTGATGCTTGCAGTTACGATGTCAAAACGCTGCTGCTCTTCGGCGGGTGGATCTGATTAGCTAGCACGGCGTCGGCAGGACACAGACTTGACGAACAACGCTGCGATAACAGCATTGACAACTAACAGCCGCCAAGCCTCACACAACTGGTTACGGCTTTGCGAGATTTCGGAGCACGTGAGGAGACCCTCCGATATCGAGCACCATGGACGGATCTGCTCTCTCTAGAACCGATATTAGTGGGAACCAATCAAGGAGGCTCGAGTCTTACACCCGATGCAATCAAGTTCTTCAACCTGCACAGCTTCATGTCGGTAGCTTCTCATTTCAGCAAGCTGAGACCAAGTCTTGCAGAGGTTCTACTCCCACCCATCCTTCGCCACGGGAGTCCGGCTTTCGGCGGCTTTTTGAGACGCTGGTCCTCCACAATTTGCTGAATCGAAGAGAGAACCAGTGGCAACCGCTACAAGATCCAAATGCAGAGCGTCTCGCTGTTCGCAACAGCACTGGATGAAAGATGCATGCGTTTCGGATGTTGGCTTCAGTTCACGTCCAACAATTATAGCTGCTGCTGCCGATGCCTGCTGGGGGGAGGGGGCATTAAAATAGTTTTCTTGGCAGCCTGTCGTCTGAAGCGCCTACAGGAGAAGCCAAGGACTACGTTGCCTGCAAACAGAGACGTGCAACTACGTTGTTCTCCTTCTGGGGCTGCCAGTGCTGAGTCTCCTGCGCATGTTGCAGTACTCTCCGAAAGCAGACAGCTGAAATGCATCCCGCATATCCCGCTCTCTGCTATGCCACTTGTCTTCATGTTCGGATCCTGCCAGGGGCATCTTTGCGAGCACTGCTCGAATCTGGATGTTCGCCAGCTGGAGCCTCTTTCTGCCTTGCGGGCTTCGTGTGCTGTTGAGAAGGCTTTTAGCAAAGGTATGGCAGTTGGTCCTGGCTGGGCTCTTGCTGCGTGCTCGCAAAGCTCTGGGATTCGGCAGCTCTAGCTCTGGAGCACACGTCCTGCCGCGCGGATCATGCATTGGCCCACGGTTCGCAAGTCGAAAGGCAGGGCTGGTTCAGAAATCGAGCATCCAAGGAATCCCAGATCATCACTTGTCCGGTGGCGAGATCAGAGGCTTGTTCGATGGGAGGCGGAAATCTTTCACGATGTACTTTGTCTGAGTTTTGCGAAGTCTTTTTGCAAATAGTTCTGCTTCTTTCAACAACCACGTGAACTAGCTACCCTCAACAATTGCCAAGTAGACGTCCAAAGCAGAAGCTCCAGATTGCACTTGCGATTTGGACTAGTCGTTACCCGCTCCAGATGCCACCCGGAGTTGTGTCTGGACGGGAAGCTCTCACGGGCCAGGGCTCGGCAGCGACGTAGTGCCCGGTCCAGCTGCACAAGAATGGGAAAGATGCACTTGCGGAATGTGTGCGGGTGAGTGTATTGAGAGAGGCGGACAAACACAAATACCTTTGCAACAAATTGATTGAGAAAAAATTTACACCGGCAATACATAATTTGTGTATAGATATATATCTCATATACATATATATATATATACATAAATAGCTTTTGTTTTTCTTGTAAGGCCAAACTAGAAGATGCAACACCACAAGCATGTGCATGCACATGGATACCTATAGATAAACACTTACACACATACGTACATACATACATACATTTCATTCCACAGGCTGAGAGACCGTTGGTCGCGCCTACTGCAAGAAAACGAATTCGAGTGAAACTATTCATCAGGGCTGCTGATGCCCGCGCCGGTCTGGACAAATCCTACCGAGAGCAGCCATGTTGGCAACGGCTCAAGGGAGGCCAGCGCTCTGTACGAGGCACGCAGCGAAACCCTGGAAGAGAGGGCCTGCTGAACCATGCGACCGATCACACCACAGGAGGCCTCTAAATAGGCAACCTGTCTCTTTGCGCTCGCGAGGGGGACACCTCCAATGAAAGGGAATCCAAAGTCTGGGCAAGGCGGGTCGTCCAGGACGAACTCTGCAATATGACCGGAGAGGATAAAGGGCAGGGTGGAATCCAATGGCCCCGGCAGATCAGCAAAGCAGTCGGCGACAGGCGGCTCCCTTTTCGGACGGCAGAATGATTCCCCGATGAGGTGTGGGTCCAACATCAAAATCACATCCTGTGCGATTTCCTCGGCATCAGCGCAGGCCAAGGCGCGTTGGCCCCACAGTCTAACTGTTTCACGCAAGACGCTAAGAGGCTCCACAAACTCGCAGACGGTATCCCAAACCTGCTCGGGTGAGGGTTCTGAAAGCTCGCTGAGCGCTTGAAGCAGGCCTCGATTGTAAACCGCAGGATCCAGCTCCTGATGGCACTCAACAGTGGTGCCCTCCAGGGTAGGTGGAGGAAGGCACCCGTGTACTGCGGGAACTGGTGCTTCATCAGCTAGCCGAAACGACCCCCATTTAATCCTACACGAAGTAGCGTGCAGAAGATGTCTGCGCAAACGCGCCGGGCGGGCAAATACCTTGCCACATGACCTGCAGAGAGTCTCACCACCGCTCCCTGCAAGTATACTAGCTGCGATGCGGTATCCGTGCAGCTTGGAGGCATGACACGCCCAGGCGGCACGGGATGTGAAGGCCTTCTTGCACATGATGCAAGCGTCCGTGAAGTCCACACAACTTTGACTGCTTTCGCCGATGTCACGGCCGCCGCTCTGAACTTGGAGGGTCCTATAAACGGACTGGAGTGCTGCGTAACACGATGCCCGATGCACCTCCAAACCTTTGGCGCGCTGGATAAATCCACGGAAAACGGAGGGACGCGACTGGATCATGTCACACCACGTTTGCCACTCAAGCAGCGGGTCAGGCATGTGTGCAGTCGCTCGGACCCTGGCATAGAGCCAGACCAAAGCTTCGCGCAGAAGCCCAAGGTAGGCGGCGTCTTGGCGCAGCAACGCCCAAACAGCATCGGGTGCAAAACAGCAGAGCTGTTTGAGATAGCGAAGCTGCTCCACGCGGACATGTGTATGCCAGTCGGGCAACCCCAATCGGCTGCAAGCCATCGCAACGGACACATGCTGATCGCAATCTACCCTGATGCCGAGTGTTGATCGGTAAAGAGAAAATACGGTTCCGGCGATGGCCTTTGTCTCCTGCGCCCCTCGGGCTGATGATAGCTGCCGTCTTTCTAGGTCCGAAAGAGAGCTCTAGGGCATGGCTGAAGAATGCATCGGCAAGCAGCCCAGCTTCGATGCCGACGGTGCGGATGACCGCATCGGCGCTTGCGACTTCCAAACAAGCGGCGATGTCGTCAGCCCAGATGATGTCTTCCAGGGCCGCTTGCTGGGTGGGCGCCTCGGCCGGCCCCCAATGCCTGCAGCCGTCCCATGGCACAACCGCAGCGTTGCTGGCTCCTGGTGTCTCGATTCGGCATTGGTTTCTAAGTTCAAGGATGCGCCTCATAACAACGCCGAACGTCAAATCTGCCCAGGCTGAACCTGGGCGGGTGCCTCGTCTAGTGCATATCGGCTGCGGGTCTCCTCGCAAATGCATCCACGTTCCTGAGTTCAATGCCGTAGTAAGGGCTCGGAGCCAAGGGTGTGCTCCAGATTGTGCCAGGGCAGAAGGCTGCGCTAACTGGCCCACTACAGACAGGGCGTGACCATCGCCATGTGAGCCGTCGTCAGGGCCTTGGGGCTCTCGATCTGGTGCCCTGGAAGCAAGGTCTCGGACTGTCGAGTAGTACGCCGAAGAAACATCAGCGAAGAGCACGGCAGATGTAAGGCCTTGCTTGGTCTTCCAGCGCATGTAGGTCCGCATGGCATGAGAACCGAAAACTACAGATCCACCCTTACGTCCGCCTAATTGCAAAGGCGTGGCGTGCGCCTCAAAATGACGCTGGATTTGCGGTCGAAATGCACGGTGGATAGCTTTGCAGAGGTTCGAGAGCAGAAGGATGCCGCGAAAAGAAGCGCATTCTGTTTGTGGCCCCCGGCCCTTCCAGAGCCAGGTCAATGCCCCTGACTTGTGGCCGATGGCCTCCTCCCCTAGCAGTCCGAGCTTAAGTACCAGCGGAAACAGCATCCTCTGTACCGAATCAGCGCAAAGAAGGCCCAATTCTCCAGGCAAGGTGTCTGGCCCCGAGGCCTTTCCCTTTTTTGCAAGCAAAAGGGCGTTGCGCAAATCGAAGGGTGACGGGAGGACTGACACCGCAGGTGGCGAGGGCCAGGGCGAGGCTTCTGCATGGACAACGTCTGCAACCAGGGCGTCGGCCTCAACTTCGATGCCGTCTTCGAGGGCGCTGAAATGCTCACGCCAGCGCTTGGCTGCAGCCTCTGGGGTTTGACATAACTGGCCTTGACTATCAGCAATCCCTGGCAGAACCGATGGCGCGAAAGGCTTCTTCCGGCGTCGCGCGAGAAGGGCGTTGGCAGCAGCATATGCATTAGACTTGTTCGCCTGGATGTCATCCGCCAGCCTTTCTGTGTAGGCTGCTCTGTCAGTCTTGCAGCGCGCCTTCAAGGCTTTGGCTAGAACCCCAAGTCGAAACCCGTACAACGCCTCGGCGACCTGCGCGTCCCTAAGCCACGCACTGGAGGCTTCAGAAGACGGGTCGATCCTGTCTTTAAGCTGTTTCCAGGCCTGGAACACTCCTGCTGATGTATGGCGAGCAACGGCGTTCTTGACACCTGCCAATCGCCTGCGGAGCCACGCAACTTGTTGTTGCAAATCCCATGCCGTGTCAGACAAGTAAGGGTGCATGGGCCTCTTGGCTTTTCGAGGAAATGCCTCTGACAGCGACTCCTGTAAGTACCTTGTAACCTGGGCGACATGAGCATGGGCTGAAACGCTCCAGTCCGGGATCGGTGCCGAAAGGATGATCTGTTCAAGTCGGTTACGGTTCTCTGGGGCAGACAGCGCATGCACATCGATGCAAGCCTTAGCCTCGGTTTTGAGGCCGGCACTGCATCGTGTCGGCACCTCAATTTTCGCAACTGTCGCAACGTGGTCCAACACCATATTGCCGGCCGTAATGCTGGGGTCAGTCCACGTACCTACACTTCCACGGACCCAAGCCTGTGGGAGCAGCACAAAGTCGGGCCGGATCAGCGCTCCATTCCTCCGTTGTACAAAGGTCCAGGATGGTCCTTTATGATGACTTGGCCAAGTAGCCGGTGCCCACAACTCGCATTTCCGGAGAAAAGCGTGCAGCATGTCGCCTGCGCCATCTTGCGGCTCGGAGCCGCAGCATGACACACTACTGGACTCAACAGATCCAATGCTAGCATTGCAGTCTGCCCCTATTACAAGGTCCCTTCCCCTTGACGCACGGTAAAGCATCTGCTCTGTTTCCGTCCACCAAGAAGCGATTTCTTCGGGCTCAGCCCCTCTATGAGGAGCATGGAATGTAGCAAAGACTATCTGAAGCCCCTGATGTTTGAAGAGCACTGCGAGACGGCGCGGATCCTTGAACAGGACAATGAAGGAGGCCAATTCGAACACAACAGGTTTGCGAGAGGGGTCACCAAAATCAACAAGACAGTGCTGCTTTCGGAACCACAGCTCAACACCGTAATGCCCACTCCGTGACCCCGAGCAAAAGCGGAGAAACTCCCCCGAAGACAATTGACCCTCCTCGGTCCTGGCTTCCTGGATGGCAGCAACGTGGACGCCTGCCTTGTACAGTTGGGCTGCCAAAAGCGCAGGCCGGGCCGGTTGGAAGGCTAGGCCTACCTCCTGGGCTGTCTGCCTCCCTGCCGCAAGCGAGAGTGCATTGTGTGACGCGACAACAAGGTGCAATCTGCCCGTACAAACCTTGGCCTGTTCATGTGCCTTCTGCGGCAGAAAGGGGGCGACTAGGTCCTCGTTTGACAGACCGCTGGAGTGTCCGATACGAGAAACGTCAGTACCCAGGGGAGACGGGATAGAGTCATCCCCTTTGGCCCAGCGGCAAACCACACCTGCCCAAGACCACAGAGCTCCGTGGTTATCCCACCAGCCTGGGTCGTCGGAGGCCTTCCAGCGCAAGCTGCCGAGCGAGTGCCCATCGGCAGCTGATTTGGCTGCGAGGTCTGCTATTTCGTTGCCCAAAAAACCTTTGTGACCGGGCACATAGGTGAGGGAGGGCGGGGTGCTGGCTAAATCCTTACAGCATCCTGCAACATGGCCCAGGATGGCTGCAACACCGCCTGCATGGGCGGCGACATTGCCCTGAGCAATTGCCAGCGCGGAAACGCAATCAGATTGTATGTGAAGGGCCGCACCTTGGGTCGCTGAAACTCCAACCCACAATGCAACGACGAGGGCCCAACATTCGGCTCTAAACGCTGAAGTTGCCGCATCAACATCGCTGCACCACTCCGGCACGCACCCGGAAAGAACGTCACAGGTGCGCCGTTGCTTGTCGACGAA